GTAATTTTTCGCGCACAATATAAGTGGAATTAATCGGCTCAAAACGTTTGAGAAGGTCTGCCCGGAACTGCTGCCACGTGGCTTCGCCCTGGAAAATTCTACTGTTGCTTCCACTCGAGAGCTGGACCGCGCATCAACGTTGTCGAGAGACGATTTTTTTCGCCGTCGTACTCCGTCGTCGACCATCCGATCGCCGCGAAGTAAATTTCGATCATTGCGAGCCATCGCCTGACGTCGGATTTCCTGTCGCTAGAGTCGAATGATTCCGGCGAGCGAAGTTTCGGAACCTCGAACTAACGCTGCGACTGCTGCGAAGTCGCCGAAGCAGGAATGTTCATGGTCGAGAGGAGCTGCGTAACGCGCTGCAGTTCATTTCGCAGCTGCTCGTTCTCCAATCGCGACCGTTCATGTCAGAATGTTATAATTGTCTAGCCTGCAGTGGGGTACTCTATAGTGAGTACAACCCAATTAGGGTTTCCTATATGTATGCCAACTGCTGCTAGTGCAAGCCCCTCTTCTCTCATTCCTTGTTATTTCACATGGTATCAGAGCATCCACGCTCCTGGCCTGTGGGCCCACCTAACTGCTTCCGCTGCTACTCTGTGTGCTGCACGCCCCGTGGCGTGCGACGGAATTGTTCTTCCCGTCGGCCGCCCTCGTGTCGAGCACTCCTAGAGGCCCCTCTCACGGCCCCTCGCGCGACCCTTAGCGGCCCCGTCGCCACACCTCGCGGCCCCGTCACCGCCCTTCTCAGCCCCTCACGGCCCCTTCGTGGCCCCATCGCCGCCCCTATCGGCCCCGTCGCCGTCTCCAGCGGCCCCGTCGCCGCCTCCAGCGGCCCCGTCGCCGCCCCTTGCGGCCTCGTCGCCGCCCCTAGCGGCCCGTCGCCGCCCTTCCAGGCCCCTCGCGGCCCCTTCGCGGCCCCGTTGCCGCCCCTATCAGCCCCGTCGCTGCCTCCAGCGGCCCCGTCGCCGCCCCTTGCGGCCCCGTCGCCGCCCCTTTCGGCCCTGCCTCGACCCTGCCCCGGCCCCGCCCCGGCCATGCTCCGTCGCCTGTCGCGGCGCACCAGGGGCACGTGCACCGCCCCCCCCCCCCCCCCCCCCCTCTTTTCCCGTCGCCTGTCGAGGCGACCTGAGGGGGGCGCGTGCGGCCTGGGGGGGGGGGGGGGGGGGGGCGAGCGTCGCCCCTTCTGCCGCTTGTTTTGGCGCCCTGGGAGGCCGCGCGTCGCCCCCCCCCCCCCCCACCCCCCGTAACCTCCCTACCCGTCGCCCGGCCCTGCCTTGTGTTAGGGTTTGGGGGTGGCGAGTAGGGGGTGGCGGGTGTGTGGTCTCCCCTGCTCCTCCTCCTCCTCTGTCTCCCACTGATGCAGCTGCCGCTGAGGGGGGTGGGTGTGTGGGAGTCGACGGAGTGGTGCTAGGGGGTTGGGTGTGAGTGAACCTAGGGTGCAGCAAGGGGTGTATAAAAGGGGGGTGCTGTGGGAATGGAACTAGGGTTTGAGCAGGGGGTGTGTGTCGAGGGGTGTGGTGCAGCTGGAGGAGGTTGTGTGAAGGTAGCTGTCGTGTCGCCTACAGCGCCTGTAGTCCGTCGTCCTTGCTTCAGTAGCCAGTCAGCCTGTTGCACCAGTCGCCAGTGGAACCATTGCTCCTGCCGCTCGTCTATACCCGCGGAGCCAGTTACTCCAGTAGTCCGTCGCCCTTGCTTCGGTAGCCACTGAGTCAGCCGCTCCTGTGCCCGTGCCTCTGCAGCTTCAGTCGTTGCCTCCCATCTTCTCTCCCTCCACAGTTCCTCCTCCTCCTTGCTGAGAGTCACTCTACAACGGTAGTGAGCTAGACTACGGGGGTTGGCACGAACTACTAGAGGTGATCGTAGCTTTGCTTGGTTCCTTAGTGCTTGCACATTCACGGGAGAAATCGGCAAGAGTTTCACTAGCAAAGTTGGAATTCCAGAACGATTCAACAAGCAATGACAAGAATGACTACATCAGACACCTAGCAACCCTGCTGCTAGCCTGGGCGACCGCCAACACTGCTCAGTCGATCGCCTGCCAGAGTTGCATAGAGGAGCCGCGCCAGCACTGCAGAAAGGTGACCTGCCAACGGAGCAGGTCGACGGTGTGCCAACACTGCAGCAGAGCGGCTGTCCAGCGTTGCCCCGTAGAACACAGCAGTGTGCACGCTCGCAGGTGTGCGCAGGCGATTGGCCCGACTTGCCTTCTTGGGCATTCGTCGGCTGTTGTCTGCGCCTGACGAGCCACATCGACTCCGGGATACCAGCCCGCAGTCGCCTGCGCCATTGCAACCTCGACGACGTTCGTGTGCCTCCGCAGAACTCGTCGAGCAGGTTACCCAGTCGACCCGGTCGACCACCAAGTGCTTTCGGTCAACCACCAGGTCCCTCTGGTCGACCACAACTCCCGTCGAGCTACCCCCTGGTCGACGGACCCCTTCCGTCGACCAGAACCATCAGCGGTTGTCGCCGAGCTCCCCTCGTCGACCGCTGCTCACTTGTCAGGTCGACGGACTTCTCCGTCGACCTCCCGGTCGAACTGCAGGTCCTAGTCGACGTCCCACCCGTCGCCCAGACCAGTCAGTTGCAGCTGTCGAGCTCCCTAGTCGACAGCAACACCACAGCGGTCCCCTGCAGCTCGACGAAGCCTGTCGAGCAGCTCTCCCACTGTGCACGGTCGGTTGCTACTCCCGTGCATCCGACCAAGTCGTCGGCGTTGCCCAAGCGAGGGCGGGGCCAACACTCCATTCCTGTTAAGCGGGAAGAGGAAGACGCTATCTACCTCAGCGCCGTGAAATACACCGACACCATCGCCAAGCGTTTCGCACTCACACCGACTATCATCTCCACACCGTACCGCACACGACAGCAAGCAACAAGGAAGGCTCCGCTCTACTCAAGCCCGCCGGCATACGCGACTACCAGAGAAAGCTGGGCTGCCTTCTCTTCGCAGCTGTCACCTGCCGCCCAGATCTATCCTACTCCGCAAGCCAGCTCGCCACCCACCTCAAAAAACCTGAAGCGGAACATCTGGCAGAGCTCGACCGCGCTCTTCACTACCTTGTCAGTACCCCGACGGTCGGCCTGACTTACCATATGAACGCAACTACAACGCCTAAGATAATCGGTTACGTCGACGCAGATCACGCGGGCGACTCCGACAACAGACGATTGCGCACCGGCTACATCTACCGCTTCGAGCCTATCGGACCTATCTCCTGGCAATCAAGCAAGCAGGAATCAATTGCTCTCTCGTCAGCTGAAGCAGAATATATTGCACTCTGCTCAGCCACCAAGGAAGGACTCTATCTTCGCGAGCTGATGGAAGAAGCGAAGTTAGCCGAGTTACCCAACTTTACCCTGTTCTGCGACAACCAATCGGCAATTCGCATTCCCAACAAGAACGGCTTCGCGAACAGGACGAAACACATCGCCCTACGATATTTCTTCGTGAAGGACGAGATCGAGAAGGGAAGGCTCGAGCTGTCATACTGCCCCACGTCCGAGATGGCAGCTGACTACCTGACCAAGAAGCTCGGAAAGCAGAAGTTCGAATTCTGCATGCTGCTGACTGGACAGTGCCACGTCAGCGACAATCCAGAAGCAAAGGGGAGTGTTGGAAACAATCGGTCCTAAACGCTTCTGTCGTGGCGAAACACTAAGGCACAAGCGAAGCAAAGCATACCGAGGCACCAGCGAGTCAACCCTCGGAGGTTGAAGTAACCGCTGGAGGTTACGCGAAAGTCAAAGTTCAGCGACCTTTGTCCTGACAAGTACAGCGCAACAGCAAGGACACACAACTGTCTCGCTACAGAGCAGTTGCCCGAGTCGTCACTGTACCGAACCGCAACAGCTACAAGTAAAACAGTTATAACCGTATCCTTTCATATTCCTTGTACTCTTATATAATCTTGTATCTCTTTGTTTTAATCAACTTACTTTGCCCTCACATACTAGCGCAAGGTGGTTCACAACTCCTTAATTAACGCTTCCGCTACTACACCAACTCTACCCAGAGTTCACCCCTGCAAAGATCCTAAGGGCATTTCAGCCTAACACGCTAAAGTACTACTCTGACAAGATCAGTGTTCAGAAGACGTTAAACCTGAAATTACAGGGACCAGAATGTGACAAGTCTGAAATCACCCTGAAATCAGGGTAATTACCCTGATAAAATCAGCCCTGAGTAGCAGGCCCGATGACGAGCACGCGTCGGAGACGAGCATGTGTGGGTGGCGGAAATAAGACGGTGAGCTGAATGAACACTTGTGATTGAATGCAAACAACACTTGTGGGGGTTGAAGCTTGTAAATCACGGCATTCAATGCATATAACGCATCGTAAATTTCAGCGTAGGTTCCCGAGGATGAGAGTGCACTTGGGAAAACATTGAAAAATCAGCACAAACCTAAAACAAATTGCTGAATTTCTATATTTGACAATACATCCGGTTAAGGAAGCCTGAAATATCAGAGTTTCTACGAAAAAAAAAATAGCTAAATCCTGCTACCGTAACTTGTGGAGTAATTACTATTTAGCTGTCTGAATATTCAGAAATTCGTTGTTATCTCGTCCTTCCGTTCAATCAGAACAATCTTGGCAGGCAGTCAGAATTTCAGACAGGCAAAACACATGGTAGCATGGATCGCGGTGCAACAACACTTCATTGTCCCGACCGGCTGAGAAGAAGCAACTTCACCCTCTCAAGTGACCAAATCCTGTGGACAAAATGCAAGATTCAAGCTAGCAGACATACCATCATACACTCCACACAGTTGTTGACCATGAGACTTCAGCAAGCCTTCCTTCTTGGTTCCAACTACCGTAAAAGGAAGAAAAGATTAACCAATCTCAGCTTCACTTTCATTACACCTGCTGGATTGTGCGGAATAGCCACAAACCTGCTGCTTTAGTAGCTGCACTAAACTCACCCCTCACTCCACCACACGTATCGCAGGCAACGAGAGAAGCTTCAACAGGGCCTTCAGACAGGCTTACACGGCACCTTCTCTTTCATCAAAAGCAGCATCCAGGCGGGCTAGCTGCTTTTCAATATCTGCCGAAGGTGTCAAGTCCAGAATCTGCTTGTCCACCTCCTCAGCAGCTGCATTCCTCTTTGACCCGATCAGTTCTGCCAAAACCCCCTCCAGCTCGGCTGCGATCGCCACCATGCCGGGCCGAGTGGCAGAGCGCTTGGCCGTGCATCGCAGCGCCAGCTGCAGCACTTTGAGAACAAGATCATCCTGTGCCTCCATGCGCGGGTCCTTGAGGCCTGGCCCCAGCACATCGCCAGACTGATCGAGCTGCTGTGTTACCTGGCAAGAAGGGATTTGCAAGGGTTTGCAGGGAGGTGCAGTTGAAAAGTGCAAGATAATGAAACAGGCTTAAAAAAAAAAAAAAAAATGGAAGCGAGAGAGGATCCATGGCTGAAATGCTTGACAGCTCACCGATGCCAGAATGTTCTTCGATTGGGTCGATTCTTCATCCGAGACAATGGCCAGAGACTCCTCAATGGCCTGGCGGCCCGTCATCACCTCAAGAATAACAATGCCAAAGCTGCACGTCCAGTCCAGGTACACAGTGCAAGTGCCAAGGTAGGTATGCATATTAAGAGCTTCAGCTCAAAAGTAACTCGATGCAATTACATGCAGATAACCTTTGAACATATTCTGAAGGCCCTTGTTCACCTGTATACGTCAGTAGCGGTGGTGGCCCTATTGGAGGCGGAATAGGAGGGGTCCACATAGCCCGGTGTTCCCACCACTCGAGTGCTCTGCGCTGAGTTGCCGTCTCCCTTCCTCACAAGCCCAAAGTCGGAGATCTTAGCCTGTTCTCATACATGGAAGTCAACGAGCAGGCAGAGGAAGTACTTTAGTTTGCGAAGGTGGTTGAAAGCTGGTTATACCCTGTGTGCAGATGTGTTCACTTGAGTGCATGCATCTTGGCAGCAAAACCTGTAGGACTTTGAGATCGAACATTTTTGGAACGGTTTTTTAGAGGTCTTAAAAGTGACCCCAAATCAGCTGCATGGCATGAGCATGTGAGTGAAAAAGCGATGCTTGCCTGCACCGCTTGCCTGCATGGTTTGGTCGAGCAGGATGTTGGCGGGCTTGATGTCGCGGTGAATAATGGGGAAGTGGTGGAGATACTCAAAGCCGCGTGCCGCTCCCACCAGCACACTCAACCGCTGCTCAAAGCTCAGCGGGGTTTCTGCGTCTGCAGCGCGCACGCGCGGAATGGCAACGGAGGGGTGGGGAAAGGAGAGCCTTAGAAGTAGGCAGAATGCCTGCATGAAGAGGAATACCCCAAGGCCAGATCGGTGGGGACCCTTGAACCTGAACACATCTCTCGTTTCCAAATCCAAAGCACCTACAGTCCCAGAGCACACCTTTCCCAATCCATTCCACTGATAGAATGCACAGACACCTCTCCCAGTGCAGTGCAAAGCGAAGGACCAGTACCCACACTATTCCCCGCATCATGCCTTGCCCTGTGCGAGGGCAACCTGCAGATATTCTACCCCAACCCCCCCTCCCCCCCCCATCCATTGCAGAATCATGCCTTTCCCGATCCATCGTGAGAGGTCCCCGTTGGGCATGAGCTCGTAGATGAGGATTTGCTCGACCCTTGTCTTGTCGGTAATCCCGATTGAGAAGCCGAGTAGTCGCACGAGGTTGGGGTGGTGCTTTGTGGCCATCTCACACACCTGCCAAGGGGGACAAGGGGTCCAGTAAAACACAGTATAAGACACTGCTTCACCTGCCAGGGCAAATGGTGGGACCAATAAAACCCAATTTGATTATCTATCTGACCCTGCCTCGTGGCCAACTCACACACCTGCCAAAGGATGAACAATGGCAAAACGGTGAGCCCATTAGAACACAGTGTAATGATCTAATTGACGCGACTTTGCGGCCATCACACACACCTGCCAGGCAGGGGCAATGGGCGACCCCATAACAAACACCGTTTATTCGTGTACCTGACTGTCACACCTGGCTACAACAATGTAAGAGGGGCCATCTGGTCCATCAGGCAATATAGGACGTTCAGCAAGAAGTACCATCTGGTTGCTTGTCAACGAAACAATGTAACACTGATGCGACATGTCATCGTGATGCCGTAACATGCAATGTTCCAACCCAACGCCAGTGACGAGCATGTGCTAGAAGCTATGCTCTTTCCCTTGAGAAGAGTGTGCTTCGAAACGGATCACATCTCACCACACCACACCACACCATACCACATCACACCACGCTCACACACCTCGGTGTTAAAGTCGTTGGTGATTATCTTGGCTCGTGTTCTACCGATATCGCATCACACCACACCACGTTACACCACATCACACCCCACCACACCACATCTCGCTCAAACACCTCGGTGTCAAAGTCGTTGGTGATGATCTTGGCTCGCTTCACAGCCCACGGCGTCGTGCCATCGGTGGGAGAGACGCCGCGGTACACATCACCATACGCCCCTGCACCCAGCAGGTTGTTCTCGGACCACCCATTGGTGGCTTTCACCACCGCCTGCAGTGAATACTCCTGACACACCTGCGCTGCCGCCTTGCTGCTCACCAGCGCTGTGGGGAGGCACGAGAGCAAGAGAGAGATGATTGGAAGAGGTACGCCAGGGGCATCTGACCCCCGTTATATTAGTTGGAGGGAAGCCTACACCAATGCAGCCACATGACTCAGTGTGCCGTTCCAGACAAGCAAAAGCAGTGTGAGGCGTGAGTATGGGGTGTGAGTGAGTGTGGGTTGTGAGTGTGAGGAGTGAAACGGCGTGAGGAGGGAGGGACGCACCTTTGCCTTGGTCTCTCCTGAAGAAGTGGTAGTAGAGGATGAGGGCAAAGAGCACAATCACAACCACAGCGCCAATCACGATCCCAATTATGGCGCCCACAGGAAATGGCTTCGACTGGTCGCCTGGGTAACAAGATAGGGGATTTTCACAGGACAACAATATACCGCTGCTAAACAGGCTGATGCACAGGAGAGCAGGCTGATGCACAGGAGAGCAGGCTGATGCACAGGAGAGCAGTTTGATGCGCAGCAGAGCAGTTTGATGCGCAGCAGAGCAGTTTGATGCGCAGCAGAGCAGTTTGATGCGCAGCAGAGCAGCTTGATGCGCAGCAGAGTAGCAGATCCTGCAGAGGCTAAGGAATTTCCAAGAGGGCAGAATCTTGAAGCTCAGATGCACGGGTCACGTGGCATGTGGCATGTGCTTGGATGGAAACACCTCTGCTCCTCCTCCCCCTCGCTTTCTTAAGAGCGGATCTCACATGTGGCACAGAAGTCAGGGCAGGTGCGGCAGAAGGCAGAGGACGTATTCTGAGGCACACCGCAGCTGGTATAGCTGTCAGGGCACTTGAGACTCGTGCTGCTGGTGGCTCTGCACAGGGAGGGCGCAAGGGTAGGGGAGTAGGGCAGATAAATTTTCTTTCCACCTGCTAGTTTCTAGTACCAGCAAGAGTCGCGGTGCCCCAGCCAGCAGCGATACCAGCAGCGTTGCCAGCAGCGTTGCCAGCAGTGTTGCCAGCAGCGTTGCCAGCAGCGATGCGGCTTATGGACTCTGCACATACGGCGCACTCACAGCGTTGAGAGCACTCACAGCATTGTCAGCACTCACAGCGTTGAGAGATTGGACAGGCCTCCAAATGATGGTGAGATGGTTCCCTGGAGCAGGTTGACGCTCACATTCCTGAAGCACATGAGATGCCAGGGGGACAGGGGGACATGAGACACGGAAGAAAAGCTCTTTTGGGACGACCCAAAAAGCGACTCACATCCCTGTGGCATATGGGAGGTTAGGAGGCCAAGAGCACATTAGACACAGGAGAACAGAGGTGCCACCGACCCCGGTTTGGCATTGTGGGAAGCATTCCTGTGTGCAAGGTGCGCCAGGGACCAAGAATAAGCCTCTTGCACAGCTTCTGCTCTTGGAGTGCGTGAAAGAGAGGCAAACTAACGAGACTACAGGAGGAGATGAGACGAGGGGAAGAGGCAAGACGAGGGGAAGAGACGAGAGGAGAGAGAAAGAGACGAGGCAAGGGAAGGAGACGAAACTAGGGAAAAGGCGGGCCAGAGACTCACAGGTAAACCAAGGTATCCATGTTTGCGAGGGAATCAGGGAGGGAGCCTGTGAGTTTATTATTGGAGACATTCCTGCAGTCACTCGGGCACGGTGCGGGGCAGAAGTAAGGACCGAGGCATGGGGAGAATGGTTGAAGGAGGAATGGCATGGCCCGCATGGGGAATGTAAGATGGGTGACATGATGGAAGATGACATGACAGCAGACGACAGGACGGCAGATGACAGGACAGCAGATGACAGGACGGCAGATGACAGGACGGCAGATGACAGGACGGCAGATGACAGGACGGCAGATGACAGGACAGCAGATGCCAGGACGGCAGATGACAGGACGGCAGATAACAGGACGGCAGATGACAGGACGGCAGATGACAGGACGGCAGATGACAGGACGGCAGATGACAGGACGGCGGATGACAGGACGGCGGATGACAGGACAGCAGATGACAGGACGGCAGATGACAGGACGGCAGATGACAGGACGGCGGATGACAGGACGGCGGATGACAGGACGGCGGATGACAGGACGGCAGATGACAGGACGGCAGATGACAGGACGGCGGATGACAGGACGGCGGATGACAGGACGGCGGATGACAGGACGGCAGATGACAGGACGGCAGATGACAGGACGGCAGATGACAGGACGGCAGATGACAGGACGGCAGATGACAGGACGGCAGATGACAGGACGGCAGATGACAGGACGGCGGATGACAGGACGGCGGATGACAGGACAGCAGATGACAGGACGGCGGATGACAGGACGGCGGATGACAGGACGGCAGATGACAGGACGGCAGATGACAGGACGGCAGATGACAGGACGGCGGATGACAGGACGGCGGATGACAGGACGGCGGATGACAGGACGGCAGATGACAGGACGGCGGATGACAGGACGGCGGATGACAGGACGGCGGATGACAGGACGGCAGATGACAGGACTGCAGATGACAGGACGGCAGATGACAGGACGGCGGATGACAGGACGGCGGATGACAGGACAGCAGATGACAGGACGGCGGATGACAGGACGGCGGATGACAGGACGGCAGATGACAGGACGGCAGATGACAGGACGGCGGATGACAGGACGGCGGATGACAGGACGGCGGATGACAGGACGGCAGATGACAGGACGGCAGATGACAGGACGGCAGATGACAGGACGGCAGATGACAGGACGGCGGATGACAGGACGGCGGATGACAGGACGGCGGATGACAGGACGGCAGATGACAGGACGGCAGATGACAGGACGGCAGATGACAGGACGGCGGATGACAGGACAGCAGATGACAGGACGGCGGATGACAGGACGGCGGATGACAGGACGGCAGATGACAGGACGGCAGATGACAGGACGGCAGATGACAGGACGGCGGATGACAGGACGGCGGATGACAGGACGGCGGATGACAGGACGGCGGATGACAGGACAGCAGATGACAGGACGGCGGATGACAGGACAGCGGATGACAGGACGGCGGATGACAGGACGGCAGATGACAGGACGGCAGATGACAGGACGGCAGATGACAGGACGGCAGATGACAGGACGGCGGATGACAGGACGGCGGATGACAGTACGGCAGATGACAGGACGGCAGATGACAGGACGGCAGATGACAGGACGGCGGATGACAGGACGGCAGATGACAGGACGGCAGATGACAGGACGGCAGATGACAGGACGGCAGATGACAGGACGGCAGATGACAGGACGGCGGATGACAGGACGGCGGATGACAGGACGGCGGATGACAGGACAGCAGATGACAGGACGGCAGATGACAGGACGGCAGATGACAGGATGGCGGATGACAGGCGATAACCATGGGGAACATTCATATCTTGATACAATTGAGTTGCAACCATGGGGATAAAAATAGTGCATAGGGCAACGACTCATGGTACTGCTCAGGAGCAGAACGTTGATTCGTATAATTCTTAGCAAGGATGTGGGGGATTGCAAAGATTTCTAAATGACGGACGAGCACACAGGTATAGCATGTTGGGCAGGTCGATTCTTTGCAGAAAGTGGTCGCTCGTGAGCTGGCAGCCTGACAGATCCCTGTGATATCATCCCGACACGCACAGCACACACACGCACAGCAACACAACGCACATGCGAACACGCATGCCACGCACATGCGGCCATGCATGCACAGAGTGAAACACGCAACAGCAATGCACAGAGAAACACACGTGTAGCAAGCAGCAGCAGGAGCACACACACACACACACACACACACACACACACACACACACACACACACGCATGCACGCACACGCACACACGCACACACACACACACACACACACACACACACAAACACGCACACAAACGCACACCCACACACACACACACACACACACACACACACACACACACACACACAGCATGTCACACAAAAGCGTTAGGAATAGAGGTGCATGAGCGTGCGACTGAGGCAGTCAGGTGAACACACCACCATACATGCTGAATGTGCCACCATTACCATGCCCCGCTCTACCGACTTAAGCCATGCACACTCACAGCGATGTTAGGAGGGCAAACTTGTTAAAATTCAACAGGCTGTCGGTCCCGAACGGGTTGTAGCTCAGATTCCTGTCTAGACCAGAGGGGCGAAGGAAAGAGACAACAGATGTGCAATCTTGGGAGGGGCTTGGGCTGTCAGGCAGTGCGAGAAAGAGCATGAGCGGCAGTGGATTAGTTGATAGGCTGGGGTGGAAGCTCTATGCGTTGTGAGGCTTAGATAGGGCGGACTCAGCAAGCGGGTGAGAGCGGGAGAGAGCAGATGGGAGCACAAATGACTGCGACTGCACAGCCACTATGCAATCACAGCACCCACACACCATGCAAACACAGCGGGAGAGAGCATATTGGAGCACAACTGTAAATCAGCTACTGCCTTACCCTATGCAGTCACAGCCGAAAAGTCACAGTCACAGCCGTGCAGTATCTCCAAACGCAGAGAACAAGAGGAAAAGTCATACAGGTTCTGCAAATTGCTGTAGTAAGCATTCCCCAAAGGTCCAAGGGTTGATATCTGGTTGGACGGCAGCGCCCTGCACAGGAGAAGTGAGGCAGTGACAGAAAGATAATGATGATGATGATGATGATGATGATGATGATGGTGATGATGATGATGATGATGATGATGATGATGATGATGATGATGATGATGATGATGATGATGATGATGATGATGATGATGATGATGATGATGATGATGATGATGATGATGATGATGATGATGATGATGATGATGATGATGATGATGATGATGATCGTCGTCGTCGTCATCATCGTTGTCGCCATCGCAGTCGCCGTCGCCGCCATCAAGAGAAGAAACAGGAGCGCGGTGTGGGGGGCGGGGCGGGGGGAGGTGGGGAAGGGCAAAGGAAAGGCTGCAACAAACAGGAGGGGCTACTGAAATCTTGTTTCCCCAGTTAGTACGAGGGCATAAATCAGAGTGGCCCCTTGGAGAGCACAATACGATGAGAGTTGTGTTGTAGGCTGTGTTTGAATTGAAGGGGAGTAGTAGCCTTGCCTGCCGTCAACGACTATCGGCTCCTGATGGCAGCTAGTAAAATCTAAGTTGCCATCGAAATTGGTGCGAAAGACTACTTACTGGTGCGTGGCGAGACCTTGTGGTGGAGGAGAGGGTGTGTTGGGGGAGTTCGTGGGGAGGGTTGTGGGGAGAGTTAATGGGGGAAGCTTGTGGGGGAAGGAGGGGGGGGGGGGGGGGGGGGTCGTGGGGGGAGTTCGCAGGGAAGTGCATGGGAGAAGGGTGTGTCGGTCAGGAGCGTGTGGGGGCTCACAAGTTCACAAGGTTGGTCAGGCTAGACAGCGACGTGAGACTGCCTGAATTGGCGCCCAGGCCACAGTTCTTCAATTGCCTGCTCAGGACGGTATGATGGACGATGATTCACAGAGAGGCGTGAAAGCGTGCTTCACCATGCATTAGCACAACATGTGTTGCCTCACCATGCATCACTATGCAGTCCGCTCTGGGATGTCAACTTTACTGAATATACTCCTTGCCACGACATTCCAATCCAGGCGATGCCATATCATGCCTTGCCCTGTGTTGGCGTGCTGTGGCATTCTGTGGCATGCTGTAACAGATGGACTAATTACGTGTGTCATGTCTGAACTACCAATCTCATCTCATGGACACACCAAAGCCACGAAGGAATCAATCCGGCAAACAGCTAATTAATCATCAGCAAATCAACTGAGCATACACACCGATCTTTTGAACAGCCCGGCGTGTGCCTAGCCTAGCATGGTGCTGCTGTGCTGATGTGCGCTATGGCTTACAGGCTGGTGAGCTGAACAAGCTTGGAGAAGCTAGAAGGAAGGGCCCATGTTGAGGAGGACTGGCAGACCACTGACCTGCACATGCACATGCACATGTACACCCACACACGCAGACACATTGAAACAACCAAGGTCATGTATGTCTTTGATGCTTGTAATCACATGACTTGGCGTTTCAAGTGTTATCCACGTACCAACACAACCAGCACAAAAAACAGAAGTCAGTGAAAGAAGCAAGAAAATTCCCAGCACAGCACAGCACAGCACAGCACAGCTCAGCACAGCACAGCACAGCACAGCACAGCACAGCACAGCACAGCACAGCACAGCAAAGCACAGCACAGCACAGCACATCACATCACAGCACAGCACATCACAGCACAGCACAGCACAGCACAGCACAGCACAGCACAGCACAGCACAGCACAGCACAGCACAGCACAGCACATCACATCACATCACATCACAGCACAGCACGGCACGGCACAGCACGGCACAGCACAGCACAGCACAGCACAGCACAGCACAGCACAGCACATCACATCACATCACAGCACAGCACGGCACGGCACAGCACGGCACAGCACAGCACAGCACAGCACGGCACATCACATCACATCACATCACATCACATCACATCACAGCACAGCACAGCACAGCGCAGCACAGTGGGCGCGAACGCACATGGAGGCGATTGTGCCATTTGGATTGCATGTCAGGCCTTGCACATTGCTGCAGACGCCATTGGGCTTCCACTCTCTGTAGTGCAGCTGCCAATTCGTCTGCAACTCCTGCAGCACCACGCCTGCCAGCCAGCCCAACCACAGCAGCACGGACAAATCTGGTCAAGATGCTATAGCGATTTCGGCAGTGACCGACGCAGCAGGAGAGAGGGGGCGAGAGAGGAACTGAGCGAAGAGCAGAGTGAGGAGCAGAGGGAGGAGCAGAGGCGGAATGGGAGGCACACCGCGGGGATGTGTGTGCGGTGAGGAGGCGAGGGGCTGCTGCTAGTGCCTGCACGGCGGCAGGTGAGCGGCGGATGAGGTCGCCGTAGGAAGCACCGATGCCGCGTTTTATGACGAAGGGCCGCAGGATGTGTCGCGGCGGCATGATGATGGCAGAGCGCCACCCAGCGGCGATCGCTACAGCGTTAAGGCCACAGGGTGGTGAAATGAAACTGTAGCGACTGGCGTCGACCGACTAGCAGCACCAGCAGCAGCGGCGACCTGTTCACGACTCACCCTGCGATTGATCGATCATGGGTAGCGCGACGGCCGTCCACGGCGCAAGGCATGCGAGCGCGGCGAGGAGAGGCACGAGGGAGAGACTGCCAAGCACTTGGTGAAGCATCGTGGCCGCCGTCACGGATGCAATGGCAGTGGCAGCGGCAGTGGCAGTGGCAATGGCAGTGGCACAGGGGCAGGGGCAGGGGCAGTGGCAGTGGCAAGAGCGCTACGAGCGCAGAAGGCAGGGGACCAGTCGTCGAGGACAGTAGTGGCGAGCCCCCGCCTTGCACGCTCCACTGGCTCCTAGCGTCGCCTCGTTCTGTGCTGGACCGGTCCAGTAGTAGCCGAAAACAAGAGGACCATTCAAAAGCGTCGTGCTGAGAGCACCCCTGGTAACCAGATTGCTCCACTTCGCATCTCAGATTGCTGTTCTCGATACTGTGCCACACGGTAATCGTCGTGCTGAGAGCACCCCTGGTAACCAGTGGGATAGGATTAACTTATGGAGCCGGCGAGTGCGCAGGTGACGGAATGGTAGTTCGCTTGTTGCTACAAGAGGGAGGCTTTCCGGCGGTGCCGAGATTGAATGCGTTGCTGTGGCGAGTGAGACCAAGAATTTCGCGACAGAGACAGTATGTCGAGCGTTGCATCTGCTCGTCTGTGTTGAGGGAGGAAATGAGGAGAAACCGATGAGGACTGCTTGGGTGTGATTGAGTGAGACAGGTGACGCCACAGCAGTGTCGCCGAGTTCACGGCCGTAGCACTCTAGCTTGCTTGCAACGCGATCAGTGTGTGCGAGAAAGGTGACTGAACGCGTTCCTGGCCTGGGGCAGGAGACGAGTGGGTGGTGGGTCTTGCTTGTGTTCTGGGTTTGTTTGACATGGTTTCACACGGTCAAAAATGTTTGGGTACGGTACTTGTCTCACTAGTTTTGACCATTCTGCACCAGGATGAACCGTTCAAATGACCCGCCCGACTGGTCGCGTTTCGGGGAGACTGCACCCCCTCAGGATGTGTTATGACACGTGTCATGTGCGGTCGGTTACGAGGATGCGAGCATCCCACTCTCCATTGAGCGACGGATCTATAGCGGGTACAACACCTGGTCTGCCCTACAATCCGCATTACTCCCCACCAGGGCTGATTTTATCAGGGTAATTACCCTGTTTTCAGGGTGATTTCAGGCTTTCCACTTTGCGGAGACTGAGATTTCAGAATTACTGAGTTCTCAACCCTGTTCAAATCAGAGTAATAGTTTTCATATCCCTGATTTAGAGTATAGTGTAACAAACTTGCCTGTTAGTGGATCCTGACTTAATAGGGTATCGAATTTGTGGTCCCTGATCTTGACCTTATCGAGAGAAAGTTTCTTGGAAATTTCCTTCCGATATCCCCCTTCGGATTGATTGCAGTACAGCCAGCGCGTGAGCGACGAACAACAGCATGTCTGACAGGCGAGTACACTCGATGTTTGTTATTTTCACGAATTGTGAATAATGTATATTACTGTCGTATTTGCGTTTGCATGAAGTTACCCAAACTTTTTTGCTTTTCGCACAGCGATGTTGGCGACATTCAGGTACTCGGCGAATAAAAAACTTGACACATCTGTGGTATCGAATCGAAATGTTAAAACGTGTGGATAAATACTATTGACTCACTACGATTCGCTACGACGCAACGTGACCGGTACTCACAATGCTACTGCTACTGCTCTCCGCCTCACGGCAGCCATGGATCTTACCGAGACCATCGCCAATGTACCACCTATTGTTTGATATTCCCGCCAAAAATATAACCATTGAGATCGTCCTCTCTCAGGGTACATGTGGATATTTTTTAAATGTTCAAACAGAGAACATTCGTCCCTATTCCCTGAGAACGAGCAGAAGCCATTGTTTCGGGTTTCATACTTGTACTGCAATGTTGTCTAGTTCATCCACTTCTCTCATTCTGACACAGCTTTTATATTTCTCCTGTACAACACTCGCTTTGGTGGTTGTTTTATCATTATTGCACGATGGCTGCTCGGGTTAAGAAGGCTGTTGCTGCTGCTGTCACCGCAGCTACTGCTGCTGCTGTCACCGTAGCTACTGCTGCTGCTGCTGCTACTACTATCAGTACCGGAGTTCCAACGGTTACTACTACTCCAAATGCTCCGCCAGCAACAACTCCGGCCAAGCCGAAGTCTAGGTCGAGGCTTCCACTCAAGTCTGCTACCGCCATGAAGGCGACCAAGGGTCCCTTTCAGCTTGACGAATCTGAAGCTCGCAGCCATCCGCATTGAGGAAGCTGCGAATGATGGCAAGAAGGGTAAGGAGAAAGCCGTCTTTAAGGATGCTGTTTCTGACGCTGTTCCTGAAGGTGAAGATGGATCTCATGGCGACGATGATGATGATGCGCACGACAATGCTGATGATGGCTCAGGGCCGTCGGGGGTTACGCACCTGCTAAACGATGAGGACGACGGGCTTATTGCCTATGATTCTGACGAGGAGGTGGAGGAGGCATCAAAAGGCGAGATCGTGTCACGTTCCTGTTACCCGATCACCCTTCTGGTTCCTGAGGAGTTCCTGCCGGAAGTACCTCGCAAGGAGACAACGATCAAGGGGTTGGTGGGGATTTAGAAGGATGAGCTGTCGGATGAGGCTCAGGTCACCACGACGTTCCAGGAGCTGACGCCGGTTTATCTGTACAAGAAGCTTTACGGTCGCATGCAAGTTACATTTGACAAAGCATCTGACGCTAACTTTGTGTGGCGTAATGAGGAGATTAACTCTACAACGGTGGGAGCTAGACTACAGGGTGGGCAGTGGTTGTAGGAGTGATCGTAGCTCTGTCTGTGCTCTTTAGGACTTGTGTTTTCACAGGGCAAAACAGCAAGAGTTTCGCTAAGGAAAAGTCGAGAATACAGAGTTCAGAATGAGAACAAGCAATGGCAAAGATTGACTACATCACATGCAAGGTTTGCTAGTGCTCAGGCAGGTCGACTGCCAGCGTGACAGAGTTGTCGACCTGCCAACGCAGCATCTCCACGGTCCGCCAACACAGCTTGTGTGCGAATTGCCAACGCTGCAGAATGGCGGCCTGCCAACGCTGCATTCGCGCGGCTTGCCAACGCAGCATCTGCGCGGCTTGCCAACATTGCATCCGCAGGTGACTGTAAGCGCATGTGCAAGCACCTACTTCGCAGGTGCTTGTAGATAGTTATGCACGACGTGTACTGTCAAGTGCATTGCGCAGGCTGTCAGCCACATGCTGACGGTTGCACATGATGAGCCACGTCGACCATGTGCTGCCACGTCGGTCGACTTCGCCACAGCAGTCTCGACGACGTTCGCACACCTTCGCACACTCGTCGAGCAGGTAACTTGGTCAACCAGATGAAGTCCCTGACATCTCTGCAGGATGATGACCTTCGTTATCACCGGTTAACGACCTTTGTCATCGCGGGTTGACGACCTTCGTCGTCGCTGCTCGACGACCTTCGTCGAGCACCTTCGTTGAGCACCTCAGTTGACATTTCAAAATGTCAGCTCCTGATTGGTCGAAATTAGGGCACATTCGAATTTCTGGCCAAAATTCGCCTGTGCAGTCTCAAGGTTGCGCAGGGTCAGACGCGACCCTGCGCAGACGAACACCCGCGAACTTCTGCACCAGCTGCGCCACTTGTTCATGCGCACGGGAAGACTGTGTTGCACTCGTGGATGATTCAATTACTCTTGCATGGATTCCCTAGTACACCTCGTGTACAGGCAACCCTCGAACACATGGAGAAGGTCGGCTGCACCTCCCGCACACCCGACCATGAAGTCAGTTTTGCCCATGCGAGGGCGGGGCCAATATCCTTCAACACTCCCCTGCCGCGCTCACGCTTGGGCACCCCACGCACAAGGTCCACCCAGAACCCAAAGGATAGTATACACTGGGAAAATCCTTCGTCAGCGTGCACACAACACACAGCATGCCGGTCACCGCACCAGCCGTGCATAAGGGCACGGCACCTACTGCTGCACATCGTCGTCACCATCGCCAGCGTCAGCCAGACGAACTTGGCCGATCGCGACAGAGCACCGGTTGAAGGCCGGAAAGTGCAGCCTCTTTGTCAGGAAGTCAGCTGGCTGCTCAGAGGTGGGGATGTACTTCAACGCAATCTTCCCACGCTTCACCATCTGCTGCAGCCAAGCATAACGTCGCTCCATGTGCTTGAGGTTGCCCTTCAGCCCCAAGCCTTCCGCGACAGTGATGGCCGACTAGTTGTCCACACGAAGGACTGTCGGCGTCCCAGGGTCTAGCAGCTTGAACTCTGCAAGGAGGAAGCGAAGTCGACGAGCCTCCTTGCCAGCTTCCGTGGCCGCAACGTACTCCGACTCGGTCGAGGAGAGCATCGCACATTTGATGCGCTGGCTCGACCAGGAAACTGCGGCCCCTCCGAAGACAAACACATAGCCACCCGTGCTCGTCGGATTCTGCTTGTTGCTCGCGTCGTCGGCATCCACGTAGCCGACTAGGCACAGTGACTCTAGTCCACCGCCAAACTCCAAAGCGGTGTCATGGGTGTCAATGAGGTAGTGCAGGCAGTGGTCGACCTTGCGCCAGTGGTTATCACTCCGCACCGTCAGGTCGCTTCCCAGCTTGCTGCACGCGAACGCGATGTCTGGCCTCGTCGTCGTCGCCGCGAACTGCAGCGAGCCAACCTTCTGCCTGTACTCTTCCTCCTCGCGCGCTTGAGCATCCTCGTCATCGAATGTCAGCTCCGCATAGGCGTCGACAGAGACCGGCGTCTTCGGGATGCGCCCGGTCGACTCTTCGTCGATGAAACGCCTGGGGAGCTTGTCGACGTACGACTACTGGTGCAGCCATAGCTTCCTTGCCGACCTGTCGCGAACGATTTCCAGCCCAAGGTACCTCTCGACCGGGCTGATCTCGCGCAACTCAAATGCAGCCTCCAGCAGCTCCTTCAGCTCCTTCAGCATCGCGAGGCTGCTGCTGACGGCGAGTAGGTCGTCGACGTAGACAAGCACCCAGCACATCACTCTTCCGTCACCGGCCTTGAAGTAGAGAGCCTCGTCGACCTGGCTCTTCTTCCAGCCAGCGCCCAACTGCACTCCGTCGAGGGCCCTG